CAAAAATGTTGATATTTAAAATTTTTTTTAAAAATCAGCCATTTGACTTAAATAAGGGTTTTTATCTTATACATTTTCCTGAAAATCAGATTTACAAATTGACTATATTGAATTATTGAATATTTCGAAAAAATTTTTTATCAATTTTTAAGTTTTTTATTTTCAATATTAAAAAAAAAAAAATGTATTCTGAAAATGTAGCGCAATTTTCTTTGAATTATATTTAAAAGAAATTTTTAAAAAATATCGATTGGAACAAAAGTTATTTTATTAGTCAGATCTCCGTGGGAGACCCTATATATGTTACAGACAAAGTGGGGTAGTCAGATATTGTGCAACAATGATCTGTCATTTTGCACAGTGCCCATCAGTTTCGAGTAAAGTTATAAGTTAGTAATAATAATTATTGTTTACTATGATCAGTCATGCTATAACAATGTCTAGTTAATTTGGATTGCTCAACATACTGTAAAAATATAAAAAAAATAAAATTATACTATTATGCAGCATAATGTATGTAAAATTGGCGAGAATGTGATGATAAGAATACCAAAATAATAATAATGTAGATAGAGCAAGATAATGTGATCTTTGAAATATTCTAGGTGTCATACTTTCTGGTAATTTAAAACTTTAAATATATTGTTATTTGTTAGTATAAATGTAAACTTATATTTTATAGTAAAATACAATTTATATGAAATTAGAAGCAAGGAAAAAAAATTAAATGTACAGTTGTGACCAATTTAAGTTAGGTATGCAAGGAGTTTTTAATTACGATTGACAAAGTATCTGAAAACATAATTTTACTAAGGGAGGTAGCTCTACAATTGTAACTTAGGTGGTTAAGKATATAATAGATGTGGTTGTACACAAAAGTGTCAAACAAATAAGTGTACATTTAAACCGCCAGATAAACTGTGTAACTCTACACAGTAGCAATTCGTGCTCAAACAAATAAATATAGTTGCTTTTTAATGTTATTAAACATTATTATGTATATTAATATGTATCTAATCAATAATAATAAATAAATGAATACAATATTTTTTTTAATAGGTAAGTTATCCATACTAACATCATTGTAAACAATGTCTGAGCAWTGTGTTTTATTTTCACTTTACCCTCTAAAATTGGGCATTTTGCACAATGCCCAACTATCCCATTTTACTCGTAACATATTATATTACATAATATAAATTAAATGATAAATAAAAAAATCATTGCATACGAAAAAAGATACTGAACRAGGACAGTTTATCTACCTATATTACTAAATTTATTTTTYAATATAAATATATTGCTTCACTTTATTATAATTTATTTTACTACAATTTCTTCCAAATTTTCGTGATTTTAACAAATTTTGTAAAAAATTGAACAATATGCTCATTAAAAAAATGGTTTTCCACTTTGCTTCAAATATAATGTATTCTATGTAATAAAAATTGTAATAATATATTTTGTTTTTGTTTTTTTAGTAACGCCGTCAAAAAAGTTAATTAATCTGGATCATCAGCAGCAAGAGAAACTGATTAAAACCGATTCTAACTTAAGTATAAATACATGTGCTTCGAATTCGTCTTCTCCCGATCGAACAAATTCCTTGTCAATTTTTTCACAAGAAACTGCCATTAGAAGAAATTCTTATGTATCCGAATCGGACATTTCAAATAAAAATCGTCATTCTAGATCTATAAGTGGTACACAGACATTTCACATTACTACTGATAACTCAGTGAATGTAGTAAGCAAATTAGAACCAACTGAAGTCAAAGATGTCCTTGTATGTTTTTTGTTTATTTTGAAATATTCTTCTCAAGATCAATTAATATCGTGGTGGCGTTACTGTACAGAATCAGATATTGTGGCATTTTTTAAAATTATGGAGTATGTAGAACTTATCTTTTATAAGATATAATTTATATCATCTACAATATCTACATGGTGTATCTTATATAATTTATCATATAAGGTATTTTTTAATTGTTTTGAAATGAGAAACCTGTATTAATTCTTTACTTTKTAATGACCTATTTTTTTTATAGTGAAATATTGAATTAATTATCAATTCTTCATGATTTGATTTTTAAAATTAGTTACTTTATGCTCCATTCACATTAAGAAGAAATATCAGTGGCCTCTGAATGTGAATGAAGTATAGTATAATTAATTTTAAAGATCATATTCATCTTAAAACAATAAAAATATTATTCAAAATAACTCAATAGCAATTAACTGTATATATTGTTAATTTTTGAGTAAGCGTCAAACATAATATGAATCTATATATTTTTTTAATGTGTAGGTTAAGTTTACAAGAGTTTCGGTACATGGGACGCCGGCATATAGTRGAAGAGACATTAGCTGCAAATAACCGAGATAATGTTCAGCCAATTTCTACTACTACAACAAAGAAATCTATGACATTACCTGCTCGAATGCAACCACCATCTGAATTTAATGCTGAAACAACAGCTAATTCAAATTGTCAAACACAACTATCACAATTAACACCTACCATATTAAGTAGCAATGGTACAGGCAGCATTGGCCGGGTAGAAAATTCAAAAAAAGGTTATATCTTAGTAACAAATATTTATTATTTTTTAGTGTAATCCGAGTAAACTTTTTAGTTTGGTATTTGTAAAAAGTATATTCTAATAATATTTTAAAACCCTTTAAATCACCTATATTAGTATTTATTCAAATAAGTAATTAATTAAGAAACCTTGGTGTTTTTATTAGTAACTATTTTATTTATAATATATTTATTTATAATTTTGTGAGAATATATAATTATTTAATATATTATGTTAATGTTTAATTATTTTAGATACCGCTACTACTGATGACAACATGACATTTCGAGTACAATCTGAAGCTAATCTTACTGCAGAAGTGGGTTTAGTTATCCTCGATGCTCTTTCATCTTATTGTGTTCATTTTAAGGATACTTTGATGGCGTACAACGGTGAAAATGACATCATGGAGAGCGTTTTTTCCACTCTCTTGGCGTTTTTATGCATCCCACAATCTACATTAGTCTGTGGACATGTGTTCGCTACTTTAAGATCATTTATTAATAACTTTTCTCGTGTATTATTTAAAGGTATTTAAATTTGGTACATTATCAAACTAATTTAAAACTATCATAAATTTKATATAYTATCATTGTTTGTTAAGGTACTGCTCAGTTAGTTGGCAAACTTTGTTCCCAATTATTAAATGGTTGTAATAGTCGATCTCCCAAGGTACGACAAGAATCCTGTGCTGCTCTTTATCTGTTAATGCGAAGCAATTTCGAACTTTCTTCRTCAAATATTACCAGAGTTCATTTGCAAACTGTTATTGCCGTGTCACAGTTGTTAGGTGACTTGACGTCTGCCGGTCTCAATAACTCACGGTTTCAAGAAAGTCTCTCATTAATCAATAGCTACGCTAATAGTGATAAAGTTATGAAAAATACTGGTACGTACAAATTAATAATATTAATAAAGAAGTTTTACTTTTCGAAAAATATACTAAACACATTATTTTAATATTTCAAACATCTTTAATCTAAATTTACAGTTTATTATTTGTAATTAGCAGAAAATTTAATTTCTATAGATTATATTTTAGCCTAACTTAACCATATATATAGTTAATTTTATTAAGGTTTGTGTAATTTTTCAATTTTAAGTTCAATACTATCAAAATAAATTGAAATATTGTTTTWTTTTCAATCGTGTTCAAAAACAACTTATTAGTTACCAATTTCTCAGGTTATTTCACTCATCACTTAATACTTATAAGTTATTAAAAGAATGTCAGTACAATATTTGTTTTCTCTCTCAGACTTATGTGTAACATAAATAAATACATTTACCCACTCATGTAAATAATTTTTTATTATTTTTGGAGTAAACTAAGAGCAGTTACCCGTCACAAAAAGTATAGAGAATTTTTTTATTTGAGAGTTTGACATAGGTTTTAAGTTTTATATTTTGAATTATAAATTTAATTGTTCTAAGTCAATACTTCGACAAGTTTATGTGTCAAAACCTCAAAAATTGTATCCACTATAATTTTCGTAATAAGTTATTTTACTCTAAAATAACTCAAAAACACAAATAACACGTTTTGTCTRTATTACGCATGGTCCTGAGAGAGAAAACATACAATGCTACGATATCCTCTAAAGACTTATTTTGAATAAGAAAATTATGTGAGTACTTAATCATGAAATATTAATTTTATATAATATATTTAACTAAARTTTTTACGTTGAACTTTCGAGTATAGATAATAAKTTTAAGTTGTGATATTTCTTACTTAAATTTGTATCCTTGTGACCATGTTAAGTAAATCTCCTTATTACTTTTAAGTTCTGGCTATACAATTAAAAACATGATAACTAATGTTTATTTGTATTAAAAAGCTTTTATATTTAAAAGCGTATTCATAAATACATTTTTATTTATAATCACCTAAATGAGTTTTGGTCTTAGGATTTCCAATGCAAGTGAAGGATTTAACAAGACGCGTAAGGACCGTGCTAATGGCAACTGCTCGTATGAAGGACCTGAACCACGACCCTGAAATGCTGGCTGATCTCCAACATAGTTTGGCGAACTCATATGCTTCAACGCCCGAATTGCGTTTAACTTGGTTACAGACTATGGCTCGAAATCACGATGACAACGGTGACTTTTCAGAGGTTCGGACGGCTCATCTCATTAGTCATTAATACTTTTCGGGATTCAAAGCATTTACATGTCTGTACTCTGGACGTATCAATACACCAGGGAGATTTAAATCTGAAATTTAATTTTGCATATCCAACGATTAGCATTGATAAATTTTGGAATTATTCTTAAATTTTAATGTATATCACTATTTAACATTAGCAAATGTAAAGTAGGTATTTCTTTTTTAAACAATAGATTAGGAAAAAAATAATGTTTGATACTTAACGTGGGTAATCACTAATAGTGTATTCGTAAGTTATAAGAAGTCCCAAACCC